TATAAATATTTAATATTTTTAAGTTTGGTGAATAATTAAATTGGCTATTAAACGCCGTTTATTTTAATAATTTTGAAGCATTTTTGGCCGAGTAATTGCTAATCAAAGTTACGCTTAACCGAAAATTATTTTAAAATGATTTTGCGTACATTTTTGCTGATAATTAATGTATCTCTTAATATAAATTAACAAAAATTTCTGAAATGATAAACAAATAGTCAAGCTTTCAAACAAAAAAAAATCATTAAAGAATCTTTATTATTTTAAAAGTTATTTGATGTTAACCAAAACAGAAAAACAATTTAAATATAATCTTTAAATTAAATCATTCCCCGTCAGTTTAAACCCGTCCAATGCAAATTAATCAAACGCCGAGTAAAATCCAATGAACTGTGCGCCTTCCTCGGCCGTCAGCCGCCGTCAGGCGCCGCCGCCACTGCCGAAATTGGAAGATTTAAACAAATGCCCGGAACGCTGCCGCTGCGCACAGAGATGACATTCCGAGCGCGCCGCGGGAGTTGTGGACATTTTCTCTCCAGATGACTATTCCCGCCACCTCGCCTCCACTCTGCCCCCGAGTGCAGTCGTGATTTGCATACGTATCATTGCCCCGCGCCGCTCGCAATCAGTTCCAGCGGCACGCAGTCGACTGCAGTCCGCTCGCTAAATGCAATCGCATCCGAAACGACCGGAAACGTCCGGAACGTGGCAGGGATGGGTACATGCGGGCGTAATGAACGATATAATCGGCGGGGGCTATGCCAACGGCGGTCACAAAATGAACAACAATGTGACATGACAATTTGATCTACTATGTCAAATATTTTACCCGGAAAACAAGATTTACTAGCATTTACTCGTAAATAATTTAAAATTATTTTTGTTTGTAGTTTGATTTTTTTTGGGTGATAGAAATCGATTGAATGGTTTTTGTGTTTTTTTTCTGGCGTTGGCATTGTGCGCTACAATAGTTTGCGCTTGAATGATTCGTTTCTCGCGTTGATTGTTGATTGGGAGCGGCGTGAAAGGCGCCGGAGAGGAAACTATTTCGGCGTTTCGGCACCGCGCGATTGTTGCTCGCAGACAATGAGCAAAATTAGGGCAAAAGCAAACTGCCAGACGTCCTTAAAACCACCCCAAAAGAAAAAAACCCTGAAAAAAAAACAAGAAAAACGACAAAAAGACGAAAAAGAAAAAATAAAAAAATAACAACGGAAAGCAATTTTCTTTGGTGTTTATTATAAACGCGTCTACAAATATTTCCAACAATTTTTATCGTGTATTTCTACTTCTTTGTAAAACTAAACAAACTGTTTTATTTTTGCTTTTTGCTTTGAAATAAAAATATTTTTTAGATTCTGCATTGTAATTATAAAATCCTAGGCTGTGGATTGGGGTTTGATCCTGAGCCGCAAGGATAATATGCAGATGTGCAGACAGGGTGCAATATCGACGGCAGTTCAATCTCGAGGCTTCGCAATCTAATCAAACGTAATGCGCTTGTTATGCGCATAATATCCAAGCATATAATCAAACTTCATGTGTGAAATCACTGCCTTTGGGTCTATATTTATACGTCACGGACGTGACGTCAAAGTTTTTTGATTCAAAGTTATGAAAAACTTGAAAATATTTATTATTTTCGTGGATTATAATTGTTTATGCAAATATTTTTGTTTTTTTGATAAAAAAATTAATTTTTTGACAATTTCTCAGTTTATTTTTAGTAATTTAATAAATAAATGCATAATAAAACTATTTTTATTTGATTGATTTAACTATAATTATGATTTTTTATTATTTCAACTTTCATCCCTTATTTTACACCCTTCTACTCATTTTTTCTTTACCAAACTTTACCAAATCATGTCCTAGACTATTCTAAATATTCCCTGAAAATTTTATCAAAATCAATCCAACCGTTTCCGAGTTATTAAAAAACACACATACATAAATTAATCCATCTATGCTTTTAACCCAGATGTTACCTTTTTTCTTTCATAACTATTCTAATACTCTATGTTTTTGACCGTAGTTTCAGCTTCGATTCGGACTTGAAGCTCGTTAAAGTGGCGCTGCCACCCATGAGAATAAATTTCCGCGCAAAGGTTTTCCCGTGCTCCCTTGACGCCCTCGGCCGCACTCTACCGCCCCTCTGATGGGGTAATTTTGGGCGATATTTGCGGCCCAGTGGAGAGGTCATAACTAACCGCACTTATCTGCATATTATCATCGCGTAAAACACGCTCGATGCCAGGATACCCGCCCGCACAGCCCAAAGTGAGTTCTTTAGCTGCTGGAAAATTGGAATTTAATGCGAGATGCATCAGTTGCATGCGCGCAAAATGCATATTGAATTTTCACCCTCAAGAAAGTGTGCAAGAAATTTACTGCGTTACTAAATTGTTTATTACTCGGAATCTATAAAAGCTAGATTAAAAAGTAATACGTCATTTTAAAGATAATTTAATTATCTATAATAAGTAATTAAATTTATAATTTTATCTATTTTTATTTAAAAGTTATTAAGGTTTTAATAAAATATTTCATGAAATTTTTTTTTTGGAAATTTTTGTTTTGATATTTTGACTCATAATTAAAGCTATTTGCGTAAAATATTTTTAAAATTTTAAAATGGTTTCCAAAAGATAATTTAATTATCTATAATATGAAATGAAGTTTATATTTTTATCTATTTTGATTTAAAAGTTATAAAGGTTTTAGTAAAATATTTTTTGAAAAAATATTTTTTCTTATTTTTATTCGGAAGTTTGGCTGATAATTCAGGCTATTTGCATAAAATATTTTTAATATTTTAAACTAGTTTCTAAAAGATTATTTAATTATCTATCGATTCATGTTAATTCCAATTTTTAAATTTGTTTATAACTTTGTTAAAATTAGCAATAAACGAAAAAAATCATAAAAAATTTCGAATATATTTCAACAAAACTTGTTCCAAGTGTTGTAAATGTCAATAAACTGTATCAAAAGTATGTCCCAAAGTAAGGTAAACTTTCCAGCGACCAAAAACGACCAATGATGCGCCAATAATTTGAGTAGTTGGACAAGTTTTATCAGCCAAACTTCCACATCCCACAGAAAACTGTCTAAACCTAGGATGAAACTCGGCAAAAACTAAGCAAAGCTAATGCGGCCGAACGGAAAAAAGTCAATAAAAAGTGTCGTACATTCGTAAACAAGCATAATCTATAAAATAGCGGAGTTTTCCGCCTGGCATAGAGCGGAATGCGCTAATATCCCGACGTAAAAACACATAAAGTACAATTTTTAGAGTTTCAGGGGACTTAAAGACTCGTATCGTAAATACTGATTGCTCGTAATAGATTTTATGGACGTTTTCTTTGTTTTGGGAGGTAAAGAAGTGATTTATTGCAAGAAAAAAGAAAAAAATTAGGATTTTTTGAAAAAAATTGAAAAATTATTTTTTTTTTGAAAATTATGGTAACACCCTGTAAATTATTTTTTTTCTGATTGAAAATAAATTTATAATTAATAATTTTGTTATTTTTATATTTTTATTTGATTTTTTAAACTTTTTTTTGCAAAAATTGAAAATTTTTTGGAAAAATGAAACAAAAATTGTTTTAAATATTAATTTTGCTTATAAAAATTAATTTAATTACACTTATGCCATTAAACTTGCTAACATAAAATTTTCCCCTAAAACTAACCTTACTTTCAATTCATGGTAGTCAACCAACATTACACTGCACCTTGCATTTGCAAGCGCAGCACTCCCATTGTATTCAACTTCATCACCAGACTGTATCTACATTACCCAAATTACTTATCCACACAACATCATACTGCAACCACTCGGAGGCGGCGGAATGAAAGAGGTTGAGGTGGTTGGCGCCTGGCGCGTCCTATGCAAACTATCGCCAACTATTACTTAACAAATAATAACTAAGCTGGAAGCGTTTAGAAGAGGGTGCTTTGCGTCCTGCGCGCTGAGGAAACAAAGCGACAACATCAACAATAATTTAAACTAAGCTATTTATCCAGCGCGTATCCTGCCAGTACATATACACACACTAAGTGTTTGGATAAACAGCCAAGTACACATAAACACATATTATTCCGGAGAACATGAGATACCAGCTTAGACCTTCGCGTTTTCGCGCTTCTAGACGCGAATTGAGACTTTTCCGAAGTGGAAACACGGAAAGTTTGCCCAGCGCGGAAAACTCTTGATGCGAATTGTACGAAAACTAACATAGTTTACGTGCGCAGCGTTTTGTTTTTGTTTTTCTTGTTGTTTTTGGGTAAGTTTTGCTTTATTTCCGTTAGTTTTGCGTTGTTTCGCTATGTTAGGGTAGTTACAGACGGAGAATAAATACTACTTGAGTTGGATAGTATGGTAATAAATAGAAACTATCCGGAGGAAGTATAAGACATTTGATAACTGTCGAAAAAACAAATTGAAAAAGTTTTTCAGCAAGTAAACTTCACAGTTATTTTAAAGTTTAATGTTTAAGAGTGGAAAACTATTATTTATAGATGAGTTACATTGTTGAAATTTTATACATTAATAGAATATTTTATTCCTAATCATTTGGTTTTTAGAGTTTGTTAATATCTTTACTATATAAAAAGTTATCAGCAATTGTTTAAAAAAAAGCATTTAAAAAATGATGAATTAGTTTTATTCACAATTTCAATTGATTATCTCATTTGTTTAGATTATTAAAATAACAAATAACTTATAACACATTATAAAATAACTAATTATTAGTTGATATCCGTAGAAAAACATTCTATTATAATTTTATACAGGGTGCTATTTTAATTTAAACAAAAAAAATAAAAAAATGTTTTTTTCTTATTAAAACTAACTTTTGACTTATTTATAAACAAATTCTTTATACTTATTTAAACCCAGCGGATAAACAAATAAATTATCTACTAAATACCCTTTCTTTCAAGTTTCTATCTCTTTTAGTTTAAAAGTTATTAAACAATTTGTAAAAACTTACCAATTGTAGTAATCAAAGTCAACGAATACAAAAAAGATGAACTAAAAGTCCATCGATGAGGAGGTTGATGATACAAAAAGTGCCCATCGCTGATATATCCATCCCCATTCCGTAACGCCCTAAACAACGCCTCCTGAAACTCCATCACCTCCTCCGCGGCGAGGCGTGTCCAATTTTCTCTGTATAATATATTCAAGTTTTCTGTGATTGACCACAATCTATCCACAGTTTGTGATCTCAAATCCCCCACTAAGCCACTCCCACTCCTTTTACTATTAGCTTGATTCATCCCACTAGCAGTACCCACAGCCCCGCCTCCACTAGCCACGCCCCCACTTTGAAACCCAATCGTAGACAACCCATTCGTATTCGAATTAGAATTAATTTGAGAATTAGAAGAAATTGATGTGGAATGTGAATTGGTTACTGTGTGGGTGTTGCTGTTGCTACTAGGGGCGGATTTTGATGCTGCTACTGATGTGTCATGTTGATTGAACCCGCCCTCTAGAGCCATGAATACGAACGCCCCGAGGATGGTGTAACCTAAAACAAGGCAACATACTGCCATTGTAGCTAGAACTGATGTGGATGAGCGTTTGGGGCAGGTGTAGCAACAACAGAGGAATGAGGCCTCGCCTACTCCGTTGTGGGCGTCTTTGTGTTCGTAGCAGCATTTTTTAGGGGCGGGGCTGCCGGGTGGTGAAAGGCGGCGTATGTAGGGGGAGTGAGGCGGGTATGATGAGTAGGGCGGTGTGCTCGGTGAACACACCGAACGGGCATCACGCATCATGGTGAAAGGCGTTTAGTAGGCGTGGTTAGTAGTCAAGAGGAGGAGCTTAAGTTGTGTTGGAGTCCATATCTGTAACAAAAGTAAATGTTTTAGTAAAATTGGAATAACTCGAGAAGTAATTGATGGATTTTGTTGATTTAAACGGTATATTGAGTAATATTAAATTGTTTATTAATATATCAATAATAATTGTTGTTAAGTAGGAGCTAAGTAATTTTTTTTAGTAAATAATAATCAAAATGATAAAATTTCTCATTTTATTTAATAAAATTATTGTTTTTTGGGTTGATGATTGTTAAAATATAAATTTTAACATTATAAAATATAAATCTTTTAATATTTGTTATGTACTTGTCCGTAAAATAAATAAAAATGGCGTTATTTCAAAAAATTGTTTTAAAATTTGTTTATTTTTATTTACGCATACATTTATTGCATTCAAGATCATAAATCCTAGTATATTTCCAGACATTCAAACATGGCAATCATTTCATACCCTGTGCAACCCTTCAAACCCTTGAAATCGCATTCAAAAATAAAATAAAAGCTTACAAAACGCTCGCTCAATCATATGACAGGCGCAATAGGCACGAAAGTATTTGCCGAAGCGAATAATTGATTCAATCCCATACGATTGAAATGTTACCGGGCTGCGCCCGACGTCGAGATAACAAATTACGCCATAAAAATAAAAAATACAATAAAAAATAATATAAAATAAAAAATGATAAAAAATTTTAATTTTTATTTTAGCGTTAGTTTAAAATTTTATTTTTTAATAAGGTAAATGCACAGATTAAACAACAGATGGCAAATAAAATTCGAAATTAGAAAAAAGTGCTAAACGACGGCTTTATTCCGGTTTTAATTTGAAACTCGCCGTGGTTTTTTTTCTTTGCGTTTTTATTTGGATTGTTATCGTCTGGGAAATGCGGCGAATGGAACGGCCGATATGAACGAGTGGTGCAACACATTTCCGGAAAATTTGCATTTAATTATGGTTATTAAAAATTGTTCGCGTGTGCGTTTGTTTGCGGTGTTTTAATCAAATGCAATCAAAATTTCGTGTAACAAATACACCACTTGTTACATTTTAAATTTTCGGGTTATAACTTTATTTAGTAATCAAATTAAAAAGACGATAAAATATTGCAATTAATATTATAAAATTAATAATTTGCAAAAATAATATTTTTAGGAAGTGAATTTATTATGTAAATAATAATAAATTTAATATATCATTTTTTAAATTGAAAAATATTGATTAAAAATAAATTTTTGTTTGTTTGTGTCTCAATAACTTGAGAACCTGCTGACCCATTTGGTTTATTTTGATTTTGAACTATTTATTGAAGTCCAAAGAAAGATATAAAACAGTAAAAAATCCTAAAAAAACCAAAGAAAATGAAAAAAACAACAATTTTATTTTTTTTAAATAAACTTTTTATACCTGTCAAATAAAATGTCTACAGAAATTAATTTTTCTGCTTAATTTATAAAGAAATAACCAATAAAAAAAGAAAAATTCAAAAAAAAAAATTTTTTTGTTTAAATTTTCACTTTGCTAATATTTATTTCAACAAAACAAAATGACATTTTAACCGCCATCTACTACAAAATGAAGCAACCGTTCGCAAACGATGTGCCTCCATAAAATTTCCTGAATCCTTGCGCAAACAAGATCTTTTCTCCGGTACGAACCCACCGCTAACAAAAAAAAACGGAAAAACCAACAAGGAGATCGTTATTTCTGTCCGTTGAGGCCAAGCAAAAGGACTATCAGAACTCCATTCACAAGAACCTTCCCATTTCCCACTTTATTATCCTATACATTACATTCATACTAATTTTTATTTATATAAACTTCAATTGTGAAATTTTTAACAATCTCTATTAAAACTTTTCATAAATTAGCATCTGTCATTTAAACTTATGCCGCGGTTGAGAATTCCGAAAACTAATGCTTTGATTATTAGCGCAAAGCTCTCGGACGGGAATAATAGCGACGCGTGGCTGAAAAGCGCAGTTGCGATAAGCTGATTTTCCGAGCGGCCGAAGTTTGGTTTTCTGTCTGCCACGGCTTCCAGTCAACCACTAACGAACATCACAATCATAATTCCCGGCAGGAATAATTCTGGTTTCGAGTAAATTATTCATTAAAAATGGATTTGTTACACATGACATCTTCAAGTTAAATAATGTAATATTTTTATAATGAGCAACTTTAAATCATGATATCATCAAAAGTTATAATGATATCAAAATTTCAAGCTTAAAAAATAAAAAATAAAAAAATATTTTTTTGAATTTTCATCCCTTAATTTTGCACCCTTTAAGTTATTTTTATGCAATAAAAAGTAGCCTATTTTATTTTCCACATTCCAGACTATCTTTACACCAAAATTTATAAAAATTCATTCAGAAGTTTTAGCGTGAAAGCGTCACAAACATTTTCCAAAAAAAAAAATTAAAATAAAAAAATTAATGCACATCATATTTTATTGAATTTGTATATTCACAAATTATTGACCCTTTAAACATGGACATCCACCTTTTCGCAATGGAACCATTGATCGTCTGAAGGGCATAGAAGGGAGGAAGGGGCTGGGTTCTACCCATAATGGACCAACAGCAAATATTCTATAGCTGTGGCTGCTGCTGCTGCTGCTTGCGCTGCTGCTGCTGGATGACGAGCCATGATGATGATGGTAATATCCGTTTGAACCAAGAACTAAAAACACCAGCAAAAAACCAGCAATCACCGAGAATCTCATCTTGACGTTGCAATTGCGACAATTGTACTGTCAAAATACTGCGTGCATAATCTGCATTTATATACACAATTTACAAATTTAATAACCGATAAATATGGTTTGATTAAAATCCAAAATTTGAATTGAATTGTACTCCTTTCATTTTCATGCGTATTATATTTAAATTGAAGTTTGATAACTAGTTGATAGCTTATTACGGAAGTGGTTATTGCTATAAATAGGTAAGCTATTACCAAATTTTAGATTATTCATTATAATAATGGAGTCTGTAATAAATTGTATTCCATTTGTAATCTGAAATCCGCTTTCTCACGTCCGCACAATTCGAGTCGCGAATGCAAATTGCAGATGCATTTGTTGCTCTTGTAGTGAGCGTGCAGAATTAAATGGATTCGATTTGAAATGCGAAACACGACGGATTCCATCGGATTTCGAGATATGTGTACATACACACGGATGTTTATTAGTTTAGAGTTTCATACTGCATTTCATCCGATTATCTCGAACTAATTCTAAGGATAATTTTCAAAATAAACTTTTTTTATTAAATTGTCAATAACTTTTGTTCTAATCAATATTTTTAAATGATTTAAATTATTATTGATTAAGAATAAAATTATAAATCAAAATATGAAAAGTTCACAATTTTATCTCTATTAGTTCCGGAGTTATTCAGGTTTGAAATTGCATGCTGGGCTCCTGATACCTAAATTGATTTAATATGTTTAAACGCGTGTAACTTTTAAACTATTAAAGGTACCAACTTATACAATATCTCATTTTATTACTATTTAAATTATCTTTCATGTGAAAATAAAATATTTTTGTAATCTCTTATCATTTACTGGTAATCCGACTTTGAAATCGATATAAATATTAAAATTAAATTTTCTTCTTTATATTCATGATTTGGTTCCGTGTAATACGTTTGTTTTCATTTCCACGTGCACAAATCACCGTTTTTCAATCAGGACATAAATCCTGGCCGCACATGGGACGAACGGCCTGCCGCACGCCTGCGGTGCAGTTAAGGTGTAACGGGTGCGAGGTGGCGAGATGAAACCGAATCAAACTGAATACCAAATACGCGAATACAACACAATGCATACATACAGCTACACCTCTTCGCGTGCAAATGGAGAAAATTGGAAACATTGACAAAAATGGCGCTGGATCGAACGCAAAGCCAATAGCGAGACAGTGAAAACACTGAAAAAGGTTCAAAAATTCGAATGCCCGGAATAGGAGGTAGCGAGGCGCAGTAGAAAGCGATAAAACGTTGACAGATCTTTTTTTGCAGCGTTCATATTTCACCGCACGTGGCGGCACAGACGTCGGCGTTGGGCTTTCAATTTCGACGCGGGCAGGCCGCGCCATGTTACTCCTGTTACTGCTGTTCGATATTTTCGTCCTGCGTGCCATTCGGGCGTTTCTACCGCATCGACTTTTGCATATTTCATTTGGTATTTGCAGATATACGGAAAAACAGACGTTTTTAAAAAGATTTTTGCTTTTAACATTAATTTTAACTTCTGATAACTGCATAGATAACAACAACCACTACGCCATTTTGTAGAGAATTTAATTCTGTTTTTATATAAAATACTTATATTTGTCACTTATTCAGTTTTATAATTATTAGAAGTTTTCTATAAAAAAAACAATAAAAATAAATGAATAAAAATTTTGTCACTTTAAAGCTCAATAACTTTTTAATAAATAATGATAGCAGCGTGAATATTTTTGTAGGTGATGTGAAATTTAATTACCTTTAAAATGACATATGACTCGTATGCCAACGATGTTAATAACAGGAGTAAAATACAATTTTCTATCATAATGCGTGTTTTAGTGTATTAGGAGACCATAAACTACCGAATTAAACAGCTTATAGCCACAAAACTAATAAACGTAAACACATTAAATTTTTACAACTATATAAGGAATGAAATTGTCTATAAAACGTACTACTCAAACATATTTTAACATTTTTCAACTCTTTACAAAAAAAAAAAAACAATTAAATAACTATTATTGCACTTTAAATCTTCCGATATTCTTCAGGTTAATAATTATTTCCACACTCGTGATAAGACCAAAACTATTGCATTCCCCAAAACACGTAAATATCACGAGTAACTGCTATAAGCGTGAAAATGCTCGTTACATGCCATCGTAACCATAAATGAAACTGCGCGCCTGATACAAAGGCAGCTCAGATGGTGCGGTGCGTCTGCATGAGATTACATGCTCGTATTAGATTTGCGCAAAACTTATGCACAACATGCGCACGTAAATGCTGAAAGTTTTAGTGTGGTGCATGCACGAGTTTCATACCTCTTTGGAATTACCTCCTCATATTCCAAGGAGGTATGTGAAGCACGTGTATATGCTAAGATTACAATAGGTGGTAACATTTTGAGAAATTGCGGGTTAAATATTACAGGTTATGAATAATTAATAATGTTTAGGTAAAAAATTATCGAGGAGGTAAATAACAAATATTTGTGATAACATTATCACTTTTTTAAAAATATCTTAGTGGAATAATAGTAAATTTTATGTTTATGAGTAAAAATCCTTTCATCTGAAAAATTGGTTAGTAATTGGGTAATAAAGTTTTATGTACTCCTGATACATTTTGTAATGTTTTAATTAAACGCGTATAAAATCTCTTTGAATTAAGATATTTAAATAATTCAAACGACATTTGATTAACAGATATATTTTCTAAACGTGTACATAATAATTTTTGAGTTATTATTCTTATCTTTTGTTTTATGCGTTATCAAAATAACTTTTTGTTAAAAATGCCTTTTTTTTACTAAAAATATTAATAACAAATTAATTTAAACAATAAGCATATTAAAATTTTGCCCATATTGTTCTCAATAAAATTCCTTACCAAATGCTGAAAACCTTTTGTTGTTATCACAAACCATTATCCCGTAATCCGCCCTTAAAGTTGCTACAAATTTTAGAATTCCTCGATTAAGACCAAAAGTCGACAATAATTACCAGTAAAACGCGCATTATGACGCCGCCCGGTTGACCGACCACAAGACAAGGGTGTTAATTTCCTTGCGTCACCCTTACCCAACCCCATCAAACCCACCCCTAACTCCAAAAACCCCAGGCGACACTTTCAAACCCAATTTTCACACAAACAACACAGTTACACAAAGCAGTTACAGCTGGAAATAGGCCAACAAATACAAATAAAATAAAAACAGGATACGAACAGTACGAGGCAACAAAATGAGCAAAAAATACACTCCGGTCAGAAATAGCCATCCCTCGAGAATTGGAAGAAAGCAAACAAACCTTAAGTTGTGAGAAAAAAATAATGCGCCAACGAAGAGGTAGCCAGAGAGATAGAACAACAGTGGACGAGGAGGTAAAATGGTCAAAAGCGGCGCCAAATGGACAGCGAAATGCTTGTTTAGTGGTCCCTGGCGGGACGAGCGGGTCGACATGGCAAACGGCATCGCTTAAGATGCGGTCGGCGCGAGTGACAGGGCAACAGAACAAAGGGACTAGAAAATGTCAACGCGTAAAACATCGACGCAAATCGCACATTAATCATTATTAATTAACTTATCTACTTCCAATCACATCCTGAAACATTATCCGTCGTTTAAAAAAAGTATCAGGGACGCAGAAATAACAAAAAAGATTGAAGAGTTTTCTAGGGTCATTATTTATTAAAATAAGGTCATAAATGTCAAAGAGGACAAAAAAATTTGTTTTATTTCATATTGACTCGAATCTATGTTTTTGCATTGGAGGATTTTCCGTGCATTTTTTGCGATTGTTGAATTTTCTCAAGTTTTCCGCGCTGCAAACGTTTTATTGCACCACTCGTCCGCTTTGAGTTGCAGCGTGTTTCCTTGTTTCGCTGCGCGTTTGAGACTTTGATAAAAGTCCCGGGGCTTGCACGACGCGGCAATTTATGCTTTTCCCGCGGCGGAAAATGCGCAGAAATTGCGATAAATTTCACTTAAACTTGGGCGGAGCGCTGTTGAAAACTGAAATAACCGCAAATTATTGCTGGATATCGCTTGCCATTGCAAAAATTATTTTTTTGTTGTACTATGTTTGCCTAGGAGGTAAATGGGTGCAATGTATCAAAAATATATGATTTATATATATTTGATAGTTGATTATTTTCTTGTTTTCGGTATATTTAGGTAAAAATCATTTTTTCTTTCTTTCACGTTTAAAACACAAATTTTTCTACGGTTTTTAGACAAAAAAAAGTGATACTTTATTCATGGACGGTGAAAACGGTGACTAAAGTACTTTAGTCACGGGTTTTAGTCATGGGGTTAGGACTGCGCTTGCGTTTTTATTGAAAAAATAGCAAAAACATTATGTGGCTAATCGTTGTTATACACTCGATTGATTAAATGCTCACTACACTTGCTTTTAATCAAACTCGTGACTAAAACTAATTTTCAGCCACTTGATAAATTAATACACATCTATTATTTGTGATCGATAAATCCTAATTTTTAGGGTCCAATCTTTGGGTCCATCCACACACAAAACAAAATTAAAATTATAATTTAGAGTTTGATAAAGGTTCGTGTAAGAAAGGTTGCCTATGTTTGGCAACATAACCTCTATCCTGAGCTCCTACTACTTTTAATTTATTATCCTTCGTGGTCCCAAAATCTTATCAGGTGGATTTGGGTGTTTAAAAAATTATTACATGTTCGCCGTAGGCATCTATTACACGCGTCATAAACTTTAATATGGAAGCGTAAAGCAAACAAAAGGTGTATTTATACCTACTTTGGTTTTAATTCATTTTTATCATGTTGTGATATAATTTTTTGTTTATGTGAAATTAATGGGGAAATCAGTAATAACATTAATAAAATTGAAATGTGCCAAAATACATTTGGGCATTTGCATGGTTATTTTATATTCCTTAATTAATATTAATATTATAAACACAAAAATATCTTTTTTGTTTGTTTGTTGCACTTTCACGCTTAAACTATGGATCTGATTGTTATGAAATTTTGTACACATATTCTTAAAGATATTGCTAAAAATATTTAGCATTTTTTAAAATAGTATATTAAGTATCAAGTGCGCTAAACGACACTTTTACCATGTTTACCAATGGTTACACAATTTTTTCTACTTCAACTTTATTTACCCACTACCGAAAGTACTTTAGTCACGATTTTGGCGGTCTGTTATTAAAGTACTACTTTTTGCACCTAAAAACTGTGCGCTTTAAAAATAGAAGTAAAAAAATATTATTTTCTTCAAAAATTTCTATCAATATCAAATTTAATGCTTCATTTATGAAGAATTAATGTACTGTTGCTATTGTGCATCTCACGTGCCATTAATTTTTACTTTGCTAAAAACTGATTTATTGTTTTTCCTTAAAATCAAGCATCGCCTACATGAAAATTTCTTGTACAAATATATCTTCTGCCACCGACTAAGTACCATTCGCAGTTGACACCAAATCTTCTCCGAGAAAACAACAAAGATGAATTCCTCCATTGTTTTTTTGGCTCTTGCCATGTGTGTTGCCTTCGTCGCAGCTGAAACCTACGACTACACCAATGAAAATGGTGACGATTGTGTCTGCAGCATCTCTTTACCAGGTAACATAAATTAAAATTAAATTTATTAATAATATATTGAGTATCAAATAAGTTAAATAGGAATTTTTGGTACGAGATTATTTAATTGAGTTTTTAACAACATTTAGCACTTAAAACTCCAACCCGTGACTAAAGTCAGTGAATAAAGTACTTTAGTCACGGTTTTGGCTGTTTTGTTTAAAATATCACTTTTTGCCTCTTAAAACAAAAATTTTATTATAATTATTACTATTTAGCTCCTGGTTGTGATACTGATGTCCTCCCTTCCGAAGAAATCGCTAGCCATGAAGGTGTACCAGGAGTTCGCAAAGGTTTCTCTACCCATCATGCATCGTTCTATGTTGGTTCCCGCCACCGTAAAGGAAACATTCGTAGTGTAACCTACCCAAGATACTTGTAATCAAAACAGCATCTACAGAATAAATTAATAAATTTTAGTCGGAATTATTTTTGTTTTATTTTATTTTTATTTCTAATTTTTTTTAAATTCTCCATAATAAATTGTAATTTAATTTCCTACTATAAAAAAACCAGTTAACAATTTATTATTATTTATAATTAATAAGTACTCTTATAAAGATATCCTATCAGACTTGATTTAAAATAGAACAAAGCCAATTGATTGCGTTTCTTCTTTGGGATTACGCTCGCCCACGCCATGACTTTTAGTATATAAAGTTATTAATTCTGACTTTGTGACTGAGTTTGTAATTATTTGATGAATTTTATAATAGATAATGAAAGGAACAGTTATTTTTATTCTGTGTTTGATGTGTGTTACTTCTGGGGTGATTGCTGGATTTATTTCTTTTGGGGCTAATGAATATACTGGGAATATATTACCAGGTATTATAAATATTAAATGTAATATGAAAATTGAAATATTTTGTATTGAATAATTGCTTATTTTGTAGGATGTATGGATCAAAGAAAAAGGCGTGTGGACAGAATTCAGCTTAGTCCTCCTCGCAAATTAGAAATCATACCAATGAGGAAATCTATTACTATGCTTCAACCGGTATTTAACCGGAGGATATGTTAATGAAGAATTTTTGAATATGAAGTGATTTGGTGTTTTAGATTATGTTAATTGATATAAAAAAATTATTTTGATGTATTTGATTTTAAAACTGCAGAATTTGATTTTTCTTTTTAATAAAATTAAAGTAAAATGTTTAAAATTCTTAAAATTTTTGGGATAAAATCCAAGATTTTCCAAATTTTAGTAGGTTTAATTAACAATCAGCTTAATTTTACAATAATTTGTTATTGTTTTGGCCCAAAAGAAGGATTTATGATAGATTTTTCGGTGTTTTTATATTCAATCACCGATTTTTTTAAATACGACATTAATTTCGAAATAAACCGGTATATCGATATCACAATGGCAGTATCAAGAGAACAGATAACCTAAAAACATTTTTCGTTAATTTTTTCATTCATTTTATATTAATTAATAAGTCTTTTAATTTTTTTTTAGATTTTAAGTCTTTTAAGCCCATAATAATTAATGTGTCCTTCACGAAACGCAAAATCCCGTTTTTCTTGGTTCTTAAAAAAATTACTTTACTGCGCCATTATTTTCATGAGTAAAATTCCACCTACATAAAAATACTTGAAATATTTACGTATTATCTGGAACGCCTGCCAATTTAATGGTAAAATTGATTAAATTTTATTATCTGATTATATTTTATTGCAACGCTTAAACAAATTTGCACTTAAACAACATGAAATATATTAATAATTTTTTAAATTTATTTATTAAAAAATTATACGTGATTTTCTGGATTTACAACTTTGTTTATTAGAAGTATTCAACATTGAAAGTAATAAAAACATGAAATATTAAATTCATGCATTTTCATGCTACTAATCCAAAATTTTACACCTCGTAATAATTCCACTTTTTAAGTATTTAAAATTTTTATGTCGGTGATAATCTGCATCAGATGCGCATCATATTACCTATTAAACATTATGCACCACGAAATTATATTTTGATAATTTGCAGTATAAATACATCGGAAAGTTATATGAAATATTCACAGTTTACTCAACTTTCCTCCAAGTTGCTTAGCCTACCAACAATCATGAAGTTCTTAGTAGTTCTTGTTTTGGCTTTTGTTTATGCATCAGCTTCGTCAACCACCTACAGGTACACCAACAGGAATGGCGACCGTTGTATTTGTGGTTTCACTGCACCTGCAGCCACCGAAATTGCAACTCCAACACAAGGTAGAAATATTATATATAGTTAAATATCTACATTTAAAAATCTATTTTTTATAATATGATATAATTTCAGAAGATGATATAGTTGACGAAGGAGCCGCAGGTAATATTTAAATTAGTTTTTTATTCCATTTTTATTTCCATCGATTTTTGCACTGTTTTGAGACTCAAAAAGTGATATTTTATACACAAACGGTCTTAGCCGTGTCTAAAGTACTTTAGTCATGGGCTTTAGTCACGGGGTGGAGTTTGCGCCTGTGCATTTGCCTATGGTGTAGTACAAGTCCATATAAAATGCAATTTTTGAAGATTTAAAATGCAAAAATTCAAATACAAAAACCAAAAGGTAGAAATACAGTAATAAAAGTTGAAAAATATCGTAAGCTTCACGTGACTAAACGTTGTTAAACACACGATTGATAAAGCGCTTGCTACACTTGCTTTTAATCAATCTCGTGACAAAAACTCCCATTAAGCCATTTCATACTTTATATATTGTTATTACTTGGTACGTAATAATATATTAACATTTCATGGTATACTGTGATATTTCTAGAAGAACAACACCCAGCAGAAATTGTTTGCCCCGAAGTAGGGGTTAAACCCAAACAAGAAACTCGTCGCAATGTTTTAAGCTCTATTTCGAGGCGCCTTTATTTAGGCTGAGCTTAATGCGCAAACTGTCAACCAAATCCAGATTTGAAATAAATCGATTCAAGCTCTAAATATCTGTTTATTTTTAATTTATATTTTATTTTCAGTACCATATAAAAAATGTAATTTTTACATTTCTACAGTATCTATAGACTTCTGGCAATTTTCTAAGTGATTTTGTTTGTTTGTGACGCTTTCACGCCAAAACCACTAAACCAATATTGATAAACTTTAGAATAAAAATCTTTTAGACAACAGAAAAGCAAATAAGATAGTTTTTATTGCAAAAATATAATTAGAAAAGGGTTAAAAAGGGATAAAAGTTTATATGGAGATTTTATCATAGTTATAGTGATATAATTCAACCCGAGATGGTGTTAACGTGTATAATTCCCATTTTTTTTATAAACAAAATTAAAAATTTAAAAGTTTTTGGGATCATTTTTAAAAAATAAAAAAAAAGATAAAAATAAAAGATAAAGATTTGAAATGAAGCTGGATCAGAACATAATGATTACATATACTTAATCAATATATTTTGCATTTATTTCAACATGTTTGCACATAAATCAATTGTATACATTTACGAACAGTGTGGAACCTTGGCCGGCAATAAGTGCTCTGGCATTACAACAACATGATCTCCAATTTGTTCAAAATCAATCGGTGGCCTGTCCTCAGAAATGTAGGCGTCACGCTCTTCGGAAGCATCACTTGGAATCATTGGAACTTCAACTGGAGTGTGAACTGGACAGCAAGCTGGTAAGTTCACAACATCAAAGAGATTTAAGATTCAATTGAATATTGCACACATTCTATATCTTAATGAGAAATAGTTTACCTGGTTTATGAACAGGAGCTTCTAAAACAAATTAATAATCAATAGTTATAGTTAAGAAATATTGGTAGTTTCATGCATAATATGGTACAAAACTTACGTTGATGTTCATGACCTGCTGCATCAATTATAATTGGCTCTTCTTCAGAAGACTCATAATCAATTATAATTGGCTGTTCTTCAGAAGACTGATAATCAATTTCAGGGTCTAAAAATGTTTTATAAATTTTGAATATACATAAAAATTATTTTTGTTAATCAAATTAAATATTACTGATAACTGATAACTGATATTTGTACTTACTCATAACTTCAGCCAATTCAGATAGATCAAGCTCGGGTTCTTCTAAAATATCAAGTTAACATAAATAAATGTAAATAATTTAAAAAATGTGGTACATGTGGAACATTATGTTCTTTAAAAAAATAAATTTAAATACAAATTTTTACTTTTGTTTACTTGCGATTTGCAAATTAATTAATTTAAAGAGTTGTTTTACCTGGTTGAGTTTCATGAATCATATTGTACACTAAAATAAATATATTTTAATAATATTAATAATAGTTTAAATAAAAAATAATTTTTACCTGGAATTTCTGCAGGCTTTACTAAAACCATAAAATTAATTTATAGATTATTACTGTTACTATTCTTCAATTTAAAAAATACTTACTTGATATTCTTGATACTCATTTGATTTTACAACTTTTGAATATATTCTGATTTATACTTACTAAATGTATATTTAAATTAATGATAATTAGATATTTACCAAAATCAGCTAATGGAAAAAAAATAAATTTGTATATTATTACAGTTCAAAAACGTTATTAATTTATAACTACTTACGTGTATGATCGACTAAAATAAAAATAAATAGTTTTTAAGTTATTATTTTTTGTTCTTCTATATAAAAAAAAGAACTTACCGGGTTCAACTTCTTCAAATGATCCTGAACCTGCATAATAAATTGATTTAAATTAATAACTTAGCTAAAATTAATAATTATTTTATTTTTTACTTGGAGCAGAATAGTGAGGCTCTTCTATTTTTTGTATTCCTGGATGTTGAATAAATGGCTCTGGTTGTGAAAATTCAGAATATATTCGTAGATTAAATTAAAGATAATAAAATAAATATTTTTGATAGAAATATTTTTACCTTCAGGATGATTTTGGTATACTTGGTAAACTAATAAAAAATTATAAAAATAAATAATAATTATTAATAGAAATTCAACAAAAAAATTAATTAATTTTTACCTTGTTCCTGATGCCCTGAGTGAGAAACTATTTAAAAAATAATAAATTATTACATATAATATAATATAATGTTTATTAATTATAATGAATATTTAAAAATATATATCTTACTCGAAACTTCAGGTTCCTCATAAATTGGGTCGTCTAGTTGAACTGATAAATAAATAACAAAATAAATATATTAAATCATATTTAATACTTTTCAAACAAATATTCTTACCATAAACTTCTGGTTCTGGGTGAACTTGGTGTTCATGATGAACTGATAAATAAAAATAATTACTCCTAATATAATGTTATTTAGAATTAAATATTTAAAGATTGTAAAACTTTAAAATATATTGCAATAATTTTTCATTTAAAAAACAAAAATATATTTTACCTGGTTCATGAACAGACGGTTCTATAACAAAATAATTAATTTATAGTTTTAAAATATTGTTCGTTTCATGCATTTATTTAACAAAACTTACGTTGGTGTACATGACCTGCAGCATCAATTACAGATTGTTGTTCTTCAGAAGACTGGAAATCTATTTCAGGGTCTAAAAATTTATTCAAGATTTAAAAGCAAAATTTAAAACAATATTGATGATATTTTAATATTAATTATAAAAATTCATACATTCAACTTCAGCTCCTTGATGACCTGGGTGTGAAACTATAAAAATATAAATAATATAAATAATTATTGATGAAATAATGCTACTAATAATTAATAATTAAGGTATTCTTCAAAATATATTCGTGGATTAATTAAAATTACTATTCTTACTCAAAACTTCAGGTTCCTGATGAATTGGGTATTCTGGTTCAACTAACAAATAAATATAAAAATAAACATTTTAATATCTTTTAATATTTTTTTAAAATTAATTATTTTTACCTTGCCCATAATGTCCTGGATGAGAAACTATTAAAAATATAAAAACACAATAAAATAATTAATAACATAATATTATTGATAATCATTATTCTTACCTTCTGGTATCGTATGTTTTGGCATCCCTCGACAGGAGCAACGATGACCATCTTCATTAATTAACTCATAAACACCCAAACCATCCGTGCCAACAAACGCGACGAAAGCCACGATAAAACCCACAAAAATGCGCATAATTCTTGTTTTTGTTAACAAAACACTGACCAAACTAAAAGTACTCCATCTTAGATATACCCTTATATATAATTAAATTCACTATGTAGGCGATGTTAGTATAAGCAACTCAGACAATGCCGTAATTGTTTATTGTATAAAAAAATAGTTTATAGCGCGTGTAATTAAAAAAACAAGAAACAGCTCTATCAAAAATAAATCATCATAAAATTTATGTCTTTATAAATAAAAAATTTATTTTCCAAAAGCATATAATATTTTAATGTTGTAAAAATGACGCAAATAAATTTTTATTAGTTTTATACGTAAATCATTAACTATAGTCCCGAATCAAATATTAATGTCGCAAATTATCTTTAATATAAAACAATTATAGGGCACAATCTTATCAATTATAATTTTTCCTACATGCTATTTTGCATGTAGCAATACAACATGCATCATAAAATTCATCATTGAATTTAAGTCAATAAAATCGTTTTTAATTCGTATTAAGCTTGTAATACCCACGCAGAAATTACACTATAAATACTGAATAAATTTTAGGTAGAAACATTCAGAGTTTAATCAACCTTGTTTGATCTGACATTATTAATCATGAAGTTCTTCGCTGTTCTCCTCTTGGCTTTTGCTGCCGCCTCAGCAACAACTATGGAAGCATATAAGTACACCAACCGCAATGGTGATCAATGTGTTTGTGTGGCTCCTCCTCCAGAACTTGAAGAACCAGGTATTATGATTGCTTTTTTTATGAAATATTTTAAAATTTTATTTTTTATGTTTTTTTTTGTTTTGTTTTTTTCTTTCTAAGAAATAATTCCTAATATTCCTGATGAGATTGCTGACGTTGGTTGTGCTCCTGATGCCAGTGTTGCTGAAACGTTGATTGCTCGCAAACAAAATCTCGAAGAATTGCTCGAACAATTGCGCAAACACCAGCGCAAACACCTGCGCAAACACCATCTCTAAACTCTAAACGTTTTGATGCAATGATATCTGAAAATCTGAATCTGAGATTTGAAATAAATCGATTTAAACTTTATTTACTTGTTTTATTTTATTTAAGAAATTTATCCAAAACAAGTATATCTATAATGATTTGTTTACTCACGGACGGCCATGGCCGTGACTAAAGTATTTGATTTGTTGTGTGCAAACAAAATTTGAAATTTTAAACAGAAAGTTTAAATACAAAAATTTAAACGTGGAAATAAAGTGAAAGATGAATAAATATCGTTAGCATTGCGTGGCTAAACGCTGTTAAATACTCGATTGATTAAATGTCGTGGCTAAAACGCCGTTTAGTGCACTTGATACTAATAATACTAATAATGAACAATAATTATATAAAATATTTTAATTACTTATTGCAATTTAATAGCAAAATTTATTATTAATAAAAATTAAGTTATCCAATATCATTTTTATTTGCTTTTTGTCATATTTAACAATTTACAAGTACGCCCACTCATGTTGTGAGTGTGAAATGATAAACCTCAAAAGTTACTTGAGGCTAAGACAGAAAAAAAGCAAATTCTACACTACATAAACCACAAAACAAATAAATAAATTTTTGAGGTGTGAAATCATCTTGAACTTGATTCAATTACAATTGTTCTTGCGTCTTGAGACAATCTTATCAGTTTAAAGTTATGATTATATATGATTGTCGTGTCACAATTTTAAATACTTGTGCTATAAACTTGATTTATTGTTTATATATAAATCAAAATATGTTTTTATTAATTTTTTGATGTGTTATACACACAACACCTACTTAAAAATAAACACTATAAATAAATAATAAATATATCTGAGCTTTTAATTAAAATATTCTGAATTTGCTTATTATTTTGTTTGATTCATCAGAAATGTTTTGAAACAAATTTTACTATTTTTCTTTTATAATTTAGTTTGGAGATCAAATATGAATGAAAATATAAACCACAAAATAAATTTTTTAAATTTTATATTTCCCAATTTTTAATTTTGGACATTTTTCCAATGTATAAAAGACAAGCTTTAACCCGCGGCGTCGCTCGCGAATATCTAAAATAATGAAGTTGCTTCCGTACGCGTCGGTAGTCACAGAAGAAGTAACAATGAAGTAGAATGGCGGGAAGTTTAAAATGGCTGAAAGTATAGTCTATGGAAGTATAGTGTACAGTCTCCATAGTGTAGTCAATTGGATTTGATGTTGACGTAGCTGCCGGTAATACAGTGTGATAATACAGTGTGATGGTACTATAGTACTTAGGTTTGAGCTTCATTGCTGGAATGCTAGATGGCGTTAAAGTAGTCAAATAGCCAGATGCAGAGGTATTATTGGCTAAACAATTTCTTTATTTTATTTAAAAAATATTTTTTTATTAAATAAAAAGTAGCCTATAACCATTCGGGGACCACTAAGAATATGTGTACAAATTTTCATGATGATCGGTTGAGTAGTTTTTGCGTGAATGTGGAACAAACATCAGGACTTTCGTATTTATAATATTAGTAGGGATAAATAAGAAATTAAAAAAAAATAAAAACGTTTTCTTTTGATTTTTTTTTTGTATTTTAAATAATGTTTTATGTTTATTATTTATTAATTCAGTTAATTCATAAGACGGAAGTTATAAAATAGTTTAATATCAAGATAAAAATATCTTGAGTGACTTTTGTTGAATTCAACTCAATTCATAAAGTCATAAAAGCATGAAAATCAATTTCACAGTTTCCAAAATTCTACAACCTTAAAACTATAAAAAACCAAATAAAAATTTTACACATTCGTTCCAACCATAATTTCTTGATAATAAATATACGCACCATAAACAAATATCTTGACACCTACCTTAAAAACTGCGTATAAATAGCAAAATTTCTCAATTTGTGACAATAAACAACCATGAAAGTTTTTACCATATTCTTTTTGGCTTTAGCCATGTGCATCGCCTGCACAACTTGTGACGGTATTAGCCAGTACCACTTTACCAACCGCATGGGTGACTCATGTCTCTGTACTAAGCTCACAGGAAACCATAATGAACCAGGTACATATTAATAGATACAATAATCTAAAACTCTTGAAATTTAATTTTTAATTTTTTATGTTTAGAAAATGGTTGTGTTTCCGATGATGAACGTCAAGTTGAAGATATGTCTGTTCTGACATCTGCAAACTATATGGATCCTGAACGTGCTGATTATAGTCTTCAGTCTAATTATGGGACTTACCCAAACAAACCAAAACCAACTGGATCCAGGCGTTACTATTACTACTATGGCTAATATGTGAAAGTATATATCGATTACATCTGTATCTGTACAAATGTAATGAGATTCTTTGTGAATAAATAATCAATGAGCAATAACAAATTCAATTAAATTATTTTTTTACTTTTATATCAATTATCTTTGCAAATTTTTCCATTTAACATTTAAAAATATATAATAAGCTATAACAAAAAAAAGAATCGCAAAATCTGTTGGTAAGCGCATAACTCAACAACGCCTAGACCAATCTGGCCAATTCATTTTTTAAAATGTTCGTTAAAGTTCAAGGATGGTTTTTACACCGAGAAAAATTTGAATAATTTCCGGGAAAATCCTAAAGACAGCCTTTTGATACAGGATAAAATTTGGCATTGTGATTCAATCATAGTTATAGTTAAATAGTTGAATCCGAGATGGCGCGCTGAAGTGCATTATTAGCAATTCTTTATATAATTAATTTCTTCAAAATAAAATTGCGAATTTTATTGATAGCATTGACACATACTATGTCTAGAACAAGGGAGTAAAAACAAATCACATTTTAATCAAACAATACCGGGACGAAGTCGTGGGTAAAAACTAGTTAAACATAAACTTAACTTTTTTATTATATTTTTATTTCATTTATTTTTTATTTTATTGTATACTTAATAAACGATAAGTAATTAATTATTTATATATATTTAATGATGAGTATTAGTTATATAATTAATTCAGCGGAAGAATTTATTAATCACAAAACCCGAACCATGACTACAATATAAAAATATATGCTTAATAATTACAAGGGGCATTAACTATTGTTTATTTATTTATAACAATGGAAATGTATTGGGCATTTATCCGTAACTCGACGCATAGTATTATACACCCACATTGAAAAGGCATCAATAAAAAAATATGCAAAAGTAAACAAAATAAAAGTTGTTTTTTTTTGCTTGAATAATTATTTAAATTTTCTGGATACATGAGAACGAGATATTTAAATTTATACATTATTCAAAAATTGTTTTTGTTACTCCATTTATAATTCAATAACCGCTGAACCAATTTTTATGATTTTTATATTTTTGGATTTGTCTTTGTCTTTAAAGAGATAATCCCTACTAATATTATAAATGCGAAAGGCCTGATGTTTGTTACACTTTCACGCAAAAACTGCTTAACCGTTCATCATGAAAATTTGTACACATATTCTTAGTGGTCCCCGAATGGTTATAGGCTACTTTTTATTTAATAAAAAAATTATTTTTTAAATAAAATAAAGAAATTGTTTAGCCAATAATACCTCTGTATCTGTCTATTTGACTACTTTAACGCCATCTAGCATTCCAGCAATGAAGTTCAAACCTAAGTACTATAGTACCATCACACTGTATTATCACACTGTATTACCGACAGCTACGTCAACATCAAATCCAATTGACTACACTATGGAGACTGTTCACTATACTTCCATAGACTATACTTTCAGCCATTTTAAACTTCCCGCCATTCTACTTCATTGTTACTTCTTCTGTGGCTACAGACGCGTACGGAAGCAACTTCATTATTTTAGATATTCGCGAGCGAAGCCGCGGGTTAAGCTAGTAGTATAATAGTAATTCAATTATTGATGGCGCTAAAGTAGAAACTCACGATTGTGCATAAAAAAAATCAAAAATCTCGAAAATTTTTGCAAAAAAAAACCTGCGGTATAAATGGCACCCTTTGCTTACCATTATTCAATATTTTAAATTCAATTTTTAAAATTTACTTTACTGAAACTTTATAATTTTTGTGTAATGTTTGTTATCTCAGCAAAAATTATAATTTTACCAAAACACCAATAAATTTTCTTTTACAACTTTACTGCATCACTGCAATTTAAAAAACATGGCCATTAATGATCCCACTACAAAATCGGATATTCCATACTTCGTAAACCAATTTTAATGAACCGAATCATCACAATCGTAAATTCATTACTGTTTATAAAGAACACAATCTTATCAAACATTTTAAGCCAAAACAAAGTTTAAAGCTCTATAAACTTAATTTATTGGTCGCAAATCAAAATTCATTGACACATCTAGTATTCATTTGCGTCCGACCTGAAAATAAGCAGTATAAATACATCTGTAATTTTTTATCGAAAATCTACAGTTTGCTGTTCAACCAAGATACAATCATGCAGCTTTTCGCCGTTTTCATTTTGGCTATTGCCTCTGCTTCAGCCTCTGACTACTATTTCCACACGAACGGAAATGGTGACAAATGCACCTGCTTTTACCCTGCAGATCCTGAAAGGAGGGTAAATATTCGTTCAGGTAATTCCAATATTCATAAAATTTTTCTAAAATATTTAATCGTCAGTTTTTCTATGGTTCTGAGACACAAACAATTTTATTTATACACAAATGGTATGAAAGTACTTTAGTCACGGGTTTTAGTCACGAAATGGAGTAAATACAAAAACCACAATCTTGAATTAAAGTGAAAGTAAAAATATCAGCGTATGCATCACATGGTTTAACGTTATTAAACACTCGTTTGATTAAACGCTTGTTACACTCACTCTTAATTAATCCCGTGGTTAAAATGTTGTTTAGCACACTTGATGTTTAATGTACTATTATGTAACTTAAAATAATTTTACATATAATGTTAAATTATAGAGGAAGCAGATCCAGACATTGATATCGGTAAGCATGAAATACCTGAGACTCAAAGGAAACATCAACGCAAATCAAGCCTTGCCTACCGTCAAAACAACCCCCGTGTGACTGCTAAATTCCGTAAACAACAATTTGCTTACGGTCCTCTTGCCTTGCTGTAACAATAGACGCGAATAAAATCTTAATTTGAATTGACTTCCAATAATAATCCAATAATGTTAAACTGTTTTTTTTTGCTTTAAAATTGTATTTGTTATTATTGCACATAACCTAACCTTGTTTCCAATCATATACCTTAAATAATGCATATGAAAACATGAAAACAAACATTCTTATCTTGTTTGAGTTTTGTTGCATTTCCATAACTGATTATTGATAATAATACGTATTTTATTCAGATTAATATTTCACATGATTGTGTTTTATACACTAAAACATCTCATATTCACAATATAAGCAAAATTTTCCAAAATATATTAAATACAAATGTATGTTTGTGACGCTTTCACGCAAAAATCACTAAAGTTATTTTGATAAATTTTGGAATACTCATAGTCTGGATTTAGCAAAAGCAAATAAGCTAGTTTTTGTTGCAAAAATATAACTTAAAAGGCATATAATTAAGAATTAAAATGAATATAGAAGTTTACTTATAGTTAAAATCATTTATAGGCAATTTTCATGTTTTTGTAAGTTGTCTAAACTAATTTTAATCTCTTTTTTTAATTGTTCTTATATCAGAATAGCTATAAAATTATTGTAGTGATTAAATTGCAAAATATGAATATAAAACACATCATTAATTTTTATGCCTTTTTTATGCTATGCATCACTTCTTTACATCGTACGTATCTGATACACCCACATTCTTCAAAAAATGACTATAAATACAAAATTTATTTTTAAAAACATTATTTATGTTTTTTCCAATGAAAGTATTATGAAGTTATATATTCCTTTATTTTTGGCAATTGCCATTATTATTGTTTCAATCTGTATGCAACCTGCATGCAGCAAAAAAGTAAAAATAAGAAATTTTCGAAAACAAGAAATTGGTGGAAAATATAATTTCAAAATTTGGTAATTTTTGTGTTTATTATAATTATATTTTTAGCGAATTCAAGTGAATTTAACGTGGAAGAACCAGTAGTGACAGAAAAACCAAAACATGCATATACACCAAAAGTAAGTAAACGGCCAATGAAGTCAAAAAAGCCAAAAAAGCCAAAAAAGCCAAAGAAACCAGAAAGATCACGAGGATAAAAAAGATAAAGATTAAATAAACAATAACAGCAGTGTAAAATTATACATTAATTAAAAATAATTCAAAAAATACAAAGTAGCACAAGTATTTTTTTTATAATTAAGTTCTTAAAATAAATTAGGAGTGTTTTTATTTATTTTTATATTTTTTATGTTTTTATATTATTTCTGTTTTGAAACACAAAAGTAGTATTTTACACACGGCCGTGACTAAAGTACTTTAGTCACCGACTTTAGTCACGGGGCGGATCATGCACTTGCACATTTATCAACTAATTTCTAATTTTTTTCCAAAAAAAAATTGCAATTTATAATAACACGTCAAATCTTAGCTCCAAACAAATATCCCCACAGATTCCTAATTTCGACTTTGAGATTTACCTAAAACACCAAAATTAAACTTCAATTCTATCTGCAAACTCTAGTTACACACACGCTTTTCCCTTGCACAAAGCTCAGATCGTCGTAATCCTTTTCTGCATCACAAGCCGCACCTCGAGCAGAGTGCAGCAGACGTTATGACTAATCTCGTCCGTGAGCCTGCTCGCAAATCCTTTCTTCCAGGTCACCGCACGTCTGCAGGACCTCCACATATCTATACCTAAATATATATATATACATACATATATTACCGCTCACCTACAGTATAGACATGAGGGATTATACGCTCGCAGACATATGCAGACGTAGACGTAAGAGCGTAATGTATGTCCTGGGCAGGATACAGGATATATTCTGGATGTAGTTTGTAGTATATCTCGATACGCGACTGCGGGGCGTGTTTGACATTTGCTACACGTTGGCGCGACGTGTGACGCATAGATATCCTGCCCATGCGTATATTCTGCAGGTGGGAGTACGGATGGTCTCTAATGTTTGGAATAACAATAGCCGGGGGACTGGTTGGCGTCGAGCTCAACTGCCCGCAGGAGACAAGAAGCCAAACAGAAGTTAGGAGGTAGTTGATGTTTTGAACTTGATTTCAGCGCAAATTATAAGAGATTTACTATTTTTTTTATAAATATATGTTAGTTGTTTATATGGTTATTATTTCTATATATTAGTTTGATGATTTTGTGTATAATATTGTGATAAATCGGTGATTTAAATAAATTTGTATCAGGAGTAAAGTGGTTCCAAGTTTATTGGCTTATAACTCCGCCATTTTTAAAGATAAATGAATTTTGTAAAAACCAAGTTATAAATAATTTAAATAGCAATATATATCATTTTAAATATTTTTAGAAAAAAAAATTATACTGGGTGTTATCGCAATTTACAACAATTTTTTCAGTAATTTTTTAATATTTTGTTTGTTTACGACTAAATTATTAACAATAAATAAAATTTATTTACACTAGTCGATAGAGAATTAATTTATAAATAAAATAAATTTTGAACGACAATTGTATCTTTTATATATCAAAAGTTATCTTTAAAATAAAATAACAATTTCTATATAAATTTTCTAAAAACTAATTTTAAATATCAATAACTTTTAAACAAAACCATTAATTTTTAAACTCTCTTCACCAAAAGAACCAAAATTTAACCCCCTTCAAGAATATATAAGGCAATATACAAAAATCCAATTTATTCTCTTATTAATCGTTGAATATCGATCAAATTCCAATTTGTCATGTGTCGATCGCAGACTTGTCGACCCTATTTGGGCAAATTTCCTCTATGCGAGCAAGGTAAACCACAAATGCATTTCCTGAAGCCCCGAGAATAAGCAGAACTGTAACCACCCCTGGCGGCAAAGTGGGCGAAAGTAATGGTTCCCGGGCAGATTGATGGTCGTCGGCACGTTCCGGCCACGCATCGTCCCACCATCTCGGTTTGTACCGGCAAAGAGGATTCGATTAATCAGGACGGCGAACTATCAGTGTCCACATTCCTGACGTTTGCACATGCGAACTTCTCGCATTTCAACCGCGGGCGCAGATGAGGAGGTGAGCACCGAGTGCATGTGAAGAGCAGACCGGCAAACGTAAGTAAATTACATTCTCTGTGATTAACAATTATACAAATTGCTTCCAACCTTTCTACGAGTAAGTAAAATCCTTTAAAAAATAAAAAAATAAATGTCTATGAAATTTTATGAAGAGGTAATTTAAACTGTCATTTTTTATCTTATTATATCTTCCTTATCCTTTTTTATGAATAGAGATTCATATTTCTAAGATGAGATAAAAAATATTTCCACCCTCAAGGTGTGGAAGCTGAAAAGATGCGTTCGACACACAGATCGTGTTAGGCACGCTTTTCAATCAAATCGAAACGGACGTGAAAGAGGGTGAAATCGCAAAAAATATACAAAGTGTCCCTATAAACACATATTTTCAACTTTTTCCAATTTTTTCTTGCGCATGCGCAGATATTCCAACCAATAGCATCACATCAAAGTAGGCGGAGCATAAATTTATTCAAATACACTTAAATACCATAAATTTCCATAAAAAATAAAAATTTACATACACAAATTATTTATAACATTCAGTAGCATCGCCTAAATGGAAAATTAAAGCAACATGAAAGAAGATAATGACTCGCAGTTTGTTTCGTATCGCGCAATGTGGAATACTTGAATACCTGAATGTCGTTGACTACATTAGGCGGATGGCCGGAAATGAATGAGACAACGCGTTAGACTAGTCTCAACTGGGTTGTTGGTTCTTCACTAAGCAGGTGGCGAACGAATGCGGAGCGCGGCAAACAAGCTACGATGAAAATTTGATCGAAATTGCATCGGGAATCGATCGGAAGCGAACCGGGCGAATTCCGCTGGCGTTGTGCGCGCCATCAACACAAATTGAAATTAGTCTAGTCTTTCAATCTTCCACTCTTCTTGTATTACCATTCTACAGCGCAGGAAATTTTATTACACTTTCTTGGAATTTCAACGGATGGAAAACATTTTTTATTTTATATTTTTTCTCGCGCATGCGCAAAAAAAATTATGATGATTGGTTATAGACGCGCATGTGTATGAGTCACCTAGGCGGAGCTTAGATATATATATATAAATTAGATTTATTTGCGCAAAATAAACAAAAAATGTTTTTATTTGCCAAATTCTTTTATTTTATTTTATTTCATGTAATTTATTAACTTGTTATTGAATCCAATTTCCCTCTCGCTGATTATCTCTAATGCCGCATAACAAATAAGATATTCGTAGATAATCTTTATGCGTTCGATTAATTTTCGTAAAAATCTCAATTTTATTTTCGCTTGTTACGTGATCAGCGATGTGATGGAATGAAGATGATATCTTTGCGTCTTGATTTTCATCCTTCGTTTTCTCGCATGTTTATCTTGTTATATTGACGTCGTTCGATCGTCCTTGCACGCGCTTGCGCCCGATTGGAGGTTGAGGGATAGCGTTACCTTACGGCTCGTGTTTGCCGCACATGCCATCATCGAACATAAGATGTAAGGACGAATCACGCTCAAACACAGGCGGCAAACATTCGCGAAAGCAGGCGCGGAAAATGTGTTTACATTTGCTGACAGGACGGAATTCTGACTTCCAATCTGCTGTTTACTGATAATATCAAATATCAAAGTGAGTAATAAAAAATAAAAAAAATTGGACGTATTTTTTTCGCGCATGCGCAAGAAAAATATGCGAAAATAAAAAAAAAAAAATTTAATTGACATGTGTAAAATTACAACTCCAGTAAATTACATCGTTATTTTCCGGTTTTCCGTATTTCCAGCGTGTCTCAATTTCATTTCATAAATGCCATACTCATACATCATCCGGGTTTGTTTTGCAGCTGTAGAGAATGCATTTCGCTTGCACATAGAAAATAAAAACAACACGAGCTTTCTCTAACGTTCAACAATCGATAAAGCTCGAGAGGGTTTTCGACAAAGCAAAATTGTGGTTGAGTCGACGACATTTACACATTTATCCGCGTGTACACCAACACACCGGCAGAAATAGTGTGAAAATAGTGAAAAGCTCCGAATAAAGAACACCCGAGAGTTATCCTGCGTTATTTTTTTTGTCAGTGTACAGATGTGAGTGCATTTTGTATCACAATGTCTTCGACACAGGTTACTTTTGTTTTTTCATGTGAGGTTATGTTTGTGCTGTTTCAATCCACTTGGATTCTTACATTTTACATTTTTACCTTTTCACATATGTTTCTTGTTTTGGTTTTGTGGTTATGATGTGAATTGACACAATGCAAGATGCCACAAACAATTCCTGTATTTTTCTGGCTGCATTTTGTATTTCTAGATGTTTTCCGGTTTAAAAAATTTAAAAAAAATTTTTGTTAAAAAAATATAAAACTAAATGTTTTATGAATTGGCTGTATAGAAAATATTTTTAATAAAAAAAGTTTGTGCCAAAAAGTAATTTTACCTATATCTGTATTGTTTGACTTTCTTTCTTCGCTCGGTGTGGCATTGTGAAAACTTTTTTAATTTCTAAATTTTCACCCTTCGAAACATGTTCACGTCTACATTCTATTCATCTACTCTCACATCCTGAGATTACTTAAGTTTTATTCCGCTTTTTATTTGAGTTTGTATTACAGTTTTAATGCAAACATTTTTTACTTTTTCAATTTTGGTTTCTCTAAACAGAAAAAAATTAATTTAATTCAGAATAAAAACTTCTTAAAACTGCAGACTTGAATCAAAGCTATTTTCTTAACACAGCAGTTTTTTATATTTTTGTTAAGTTTTCATGTGTTTGGTGGAGGCGCCAAGTAAGTCAAAGCAATAAACTCACAATGAGACACACATAATGACGCAAACATTCAGTAAGTCGGCGTGGAACGATGTGCACTTTGCGTAAAATTTAGTTTGTGGAGAAAAAGCTCACAATAACAACAATAGGCAAGATTAAGTGCGCAAACAACAATGACGAAAGTACCAAGTACTAAGTGTTGAGAGCTTTTACTATTTTTCATCCTGTAATACTTGGAATAAAAAAAACTGATTTTAATTAACTAAATTAACTTGAGCTTTTGCGTCAAAGCTCGCTGTAGTACCTGATAAATTGCTAGTGAATTAACGAGATTCTTAAACTGATTAGTTCACACGGCTTCGGAT